TCGGCTGTCACCCAGTGTCACCCGGGAGCTGCCCTGACGGCTGGCTGTCGGCTGTCACCCAGTGTCACCCGGGAGCTGCCCTGACGGCTGGCTGTTGGCTGTCACTGCGGGCTGGCGAGTGTGAAGCGGGCCTTGGCTTGGAGAGTGGACAAGTCCCACTGCTCTCAACAGTTTAGGAATCCAAACTCAGGCAGCGGGGTCTGATTCCAGTCTTGGGACAGCAGGAAGTGCTGACGGCTAGAAGCAGGGGTTCAGGCAGTTGCTTCCTGCAGGCCTGCCGGGGGATCTCCCCACAGCCACACTCGTGACCACTGGTCATCACCAGCCTGGAGCCCAGAAAGGGAACGGGCCAGTGTCCCATACTACCCACCACCAGGGCCATCCTCTCATTCACTCTTTCAGCTCCGTGAGGATCTGGTGGTGAGCGTGACAGCAAACAACCCTGTTCCCATGGGACGTACATTCCAGTGGGAGCTGGGTGGGGGTGGGGGCTGGTAGCGAGACACAAGCAGAAATAATTAAAATGTATGGTATAGCAGAGGATGGTAAGTGGTGTGGAGAAAGGGAAGTTAAAGAGGAAGAGAGGAGGGTGGGGTGAGGGGAGGGCCTGAGGGGGCTATTCTTTTTGAAATAGATCACATTTTGTAGATTTGCCATTTGTCGACATAACTGTATAAAGTTGGGAGTGCAAATTCACAGCCCAGCAGATGCACATGCCTGGGTCACCCTGGGCCGGGGCCAGTCTAACCCTAAGGAGATTGGGGAGCTGAAGGGGCCCAGCAAAGGAAACTGAGGAGTGGCAGCCAGAGAGCAGGAGGAAGTCCAGCGAGGAATGTTGCCCACAGGGAGGGAAAGAGCCCCCCACCCCATTTGCATAGATGCCCAGTGACCTTGGTAAGGGGGAGTTCCAGAGAGAACAGCAGAGACATTAAGATGGAGACCATAACAATTCTTTGGCATAAAGTGAGCTGGAAGGGAATTTGGGATCAAAATTTTTCCTTTTTCTTTTGTTTCTTGCTAAGATGGGAGAAATTACAGCATCTTTCTTTGCTGCTGATGAAGATCCGGCAGAGAGGGCGAGGACGTGGCTGTGGGAGAGGGAGAGTTTCTGCTAGAAGCACAGACTGTTCAGGGAAGGCAGCAGCAAGCCAAGTTGCAGGGGGGCAAGGTGGTGAGTCAGGCGGGGTGGGGCAGTGGGGCTTTTCTGGAGGCCTCTGTCCCCGAGTGAACCTGGAAGCTGGCCTCAGCAGACTGTGGTGGGGGTGGGGAGGGGAACTTTGAGGCTGGAGGAAGCTACAGTGTGTGCATCTGGATTAGGTGCAGCACTGGGTTCCCCCACAGAGGTCAGTGGTCACTCACTGGCTCACTGCTCACACGGGCTCCCTAGCCGTGGGGTGCTGCGCCTCACCCGTTTGGTTTGCTAGCAAACCTTTGCTCTTTGGCCTAGACTGACTTTCGGATGAGATTAGATTCCTATCTAACCCTTGTGGTCAATTCTTGAGACAAGCAGACCCAATCTCAACTTTTCATTTCCTCTTTATGAGGTGAATTTCCCCTTTCCATCCGCTGACTTGGTGTGAGCATGGCTTAAGGAAGGCAAGGAGCAGCCATAGCCTGAATAAGGGCAGAGAGCGTTTGGGATCTCTGCTTAGGGTGGAAGGCAGGTTGGGAGTTAATGAAGTGCCTTGAAGCAGCAGCTCTTGAAGTGGGGTGGCCAACAGCGCCCCCACTGGAATTCTTGGAAACCCTGCGACGACGAGTATAGATGGTTTCAGTTTATAAACTTAAAATAGGCAACACGCTCAGCGGGCATAACATTCAAAAGGAATGCAAATCCCCTCCCACCCCTGGCCTTCAGCTGTGTGCTTCCCTCTCCAGAAGCAGCCATTTTTGACAGTATCTTGGGTGTGCTTGGATAATTTTAGCGACTACTGAAAAAGGAAGGGGGAGGGTGTGTGGGTAGGCCCATCTCACGGGCTGGAAATACTTACTCAGGAAACTGGATGTCTATAAAATTCTTGGGCACGTATCCTTCCTGGCTCCCAAGCTCCGCCTTGAGCCATTCTTCTTGGTTACTTAAGATCTAAGGAAGAGAAGGAAGAATGGACAGGGCAGGGGGAGCCCGAGAAAGAGCAGGGCAAAGAGCGAGTTTTGGGTTTAGGGGAGAGGCAGCCCAAGCAGCCACGTCCCTACTCCAGTTGGGGAGCAGCAGGCTCGTCTTTGCAGTCTGACCTCTGTTGACCTCGTTATTGCTGTCCACTCCGGTGACCCCAGACTCAGCCGTCAGGCCTTCCCTGACCCCCTTTTTCTTGCTATTTGCAAATGCACGTGTCCTAGAACCCAGGCCGGTAAGCGCCTCACTGGAAGATGGAGGAGGCGAGAGCAGCATTTTTCCTTCTCTGCCAGGTAACCAGGAAACTTCTAAAAGTTTAACCTATTTTTTTAGCAAGCAGATTAAAACTTAAATACCCAAGAGGGCCAGCTCTGACAATGACTCTTTGTGTCCACACTCCATGGCCGTGCAGCCTGCACACAGCTGTAAGGAACGCCTTTCCTAAACTTGCTTTAGAGCCGGGTCACCGGCCCAACCAGGACTTTGGTCTCCCTAGATGGTCCTGCCTGCACCATGACATGACTACTCATATGAAACCTCAAGTGGCTCTACATGGTTTTAGAAACTGAGCTTCAGTGTTAAAAAACAAATACTTTCCTCTCTTCCTCCCTCACTGAGATGGCTTCTATAATGCAATACACTGCGTAGGTTCAAATATTCATTGGGAATGAAGAAGGGAAGATGGAAATCATTTGAAAAAGATGAAAAGAACCTTGATGATGTTACTGAATTTGTGTAAGAACCTTGATGATGTTACCAAGACACTGGATTTCGTATAAGAAACAACCTTTTTATTGCTTAAACCACTTTTAGTTTGTTTTTCTGGTGCCCCACAAATGTCTTAACTGGTAGAAATACTGTGATAAAGGAGAAACAGCAGATGGATAGGCAAGCATTCCTAGAGGAGCTGCCACCCAGATGACCAGGTGCAGAAAGAAGCTAGGGAGAGAGGATCTTGGGCTATGAGGAAGCAGGGCACTCTGGGAAGGAGTCACAATGCATTCTGGGAAGGAGGTACAGTGCCTTCTGGGAATGGCGGGAGGTGCATTCTGGGAGTGAAACATCTCTTTCTGGCAGGATTTTTGGTTGTGACCCCAAGAGTATAGCCAGGGAAAGTAGAGGTACAGGATTTTGCAGCACAAGTTGACAAATTTGGAGTTTTTATCTTGACATTTATGGGAAGTCATTAGAGGATGTTAAGCAGGAAACAACACAGTGAGGATTAGTTAGGAAAAGAGTACTGTGTCAGAGTGTGACGCTCGATTGGTGGTAAAATTTGAGGAACAGCTGTAGGAAGACAAGTGTCGCCACCCAGGCAGGCGATGACAGGGAGCTGGGCTAGGAGGTGGGACGTGTTCTAGAGGAATCCAGAAAGATGGGTGGGATTTTGTGACTGTTCTCAGGAGCTAAGGGAGGAGGGGGATTCCGGGATGACTTGGAGTTCTGGCTTGGGAAGCTGAGTGGGTGGCGTTGCCTCTACTAAAATAGAAATAGCAGGAGGAGGATCAGGTCTGAGGAAAAGCAGGTGGACTTCACATTCTGTGTGAGTGCATCCAGTTGCCCCTGGACCTGCCAGGGATCAAACACAGGGAGCAGCTGGAGATGTGTGTGGACCTAGGAGGAATGTGGGGCCTGGAGTTTGGGATTCTGGAGTCACCCAGAGTGGATGGAGTTGACCTCATGGGTCCCAGTGATGGGGAGAGAACTGAGGGCAGCCCAGTCACTGAGAAGATGGTGTCCTACTTCTAGTAGCTCTCTGTGGAGGGAAGAGACTGTACGATGAGTTTGGAATGAGAAGCCATGGTTTCTAGCTTGGTCCTGGACTAGCTGTGTGACCTGTGGCAAAGTCAATTAGCCATCTGAAAAATGGGGATAATAATAACCAGCTGGCGCCTCACAGAGCTGGTGTGGGGATCAGATGAGCCCGGTGGCTGAAGGTCCTCCAGAGAGCGTGTGCTGATTTTTAAAATGTAATTCTGTAAAATACTGTGATAGACTTATGAGAGAGGACTCCATCTCTGAAGGACATGGAAGGGCTTGTAAGTTCTTCAAAGCGTTATGTGTGTATGTTTTGAATTTAATCATTTGTTCTGAAGAAATAAAAGCGCCCCACATTTGAGTTCTAGAATTGCTGAGAACAGAGAACTTTAGAGTTTCTAACATCAAATGGGACTGTTTGTATCACTGAGGACGTGTGGGTATGTGTGTGCTGAGGGGGTGGAGGGCGGGAAGCAGAAAATCTAGGTCAAAAGAAGAACCAGGAAACCCAGTAGCAGTGCCGCTGTAGAAAGAACACAAGGACAGCTCACTCCACGCCGCTCCCCAAACTCAAGGCTTTGGAATTCCTCTTTCCTGTCACCTGGGAATGCTCTGTTGGGCCTGGGTAGCAAAGGTACAACCCGAAGGTGAGCAGGGATAAGGTAAAAGAGGCCTTGGAATGGCTCATCACCGTAAGAACCACACTTTGTACTCAGCTCTCTGACCTGAAACCAGCTGTAATTTTAGTAATTGTGGCTCACACCCATCTACCTCCTCTAGAAACTGAAAGATTATCCCTCAATGCAGCCATTTCTCTCCACCACCTGGTGCTCAGTCTGCCTGCCTCATGTTCCCAGAGAGGTGAATTTGCGGGCTTTTGATGGTGTAAGAAGGTAGGGTTTAAAAAAATTGAATTTTCTGTAAAGCAGGGTATTTGGGGGGAGGTGGTTTCCTCCCACCGTTGTAGGCCCAGGGCCCGCACTTCCTGTTCTTCTCATCTCTCCATCTGTTCGGTTCCCCCTATCTCTTGTCCCCATCGTGTAGACCTGAGCTAAGAGTTCAGCCTAAACATACGAAGTTTCACACTTCAGGATACTGTATCTTAATTCTTATAACGTTGCCTATAATGAGAATAATTTTCTAGGTTACATGGCCTGAGAATAAGTTAGACGTGGGAAGAGGACAAAATGTACGGTTGGAGGAAATTTAAAATTGGATGGAATTATAGCTTTTAGAGGCATAGCAGAAGTCTGAAGTCTTGAATAAGTTAACGATGTACGACTAGCTCTAAGTGCTTTTAGGCCGTTGTTTCAGAGGAAGAAATCGGGTCGAGTTGGGTGCATTACAGAAGCAGGTAGTAATGGGTCAGATCAAGAGACATTTTTAGACTGACAAATTCAAGTGGGAAATGTAAGCTGTGCGAGGCTGTGGGCATGAAGGTTTGTGACACGAACACCAGACATCCTAGTCCTGACTTTTCAAGTGTTTCTCTCCTAAGAGAAGTGAGACTAAGTTATTGGCCGCCATCTTGTTTACCACTCCAAGCTGGTCAAAATCTAATGAGCAGCTGCTATTTGCACAGAGGTGCTAAAGTACAGAGGTGAACAAACAGGACTTTGCCCTGAGGAACTCAAGTGGGGTGGCATCAGATGGTGACCTTGTCAGGCATTTTTGGTAACCTCTAATGAAAAACGTCTGCTCAGATTTTCAGCACTAAAGGCCAAGCACAAAAAAATATCTTGGGAGGGAATTGCTGGGGCAGTCAAGACCTGGCTTGGAAAAGATTTTAAGAATCCTGGGTTGTTACCCCTTTTTGGAGATGTTGCAGTCTTGTGAAGAGACCCACAAGCAGGACCACTAACCACTGTGAGAGACACATCCTGTGAGACTCAGCCAACAAGCCCCTTCCCGCTTGTCTCCGCAAAGAGGGGGAGGGCAGCCTTCTGACAGAACTTAAATGCGCATGCAGAAATGCAATTTAACCAATAGGAAATACCTACTGAGCACTTCTCAGGGGGCCCGACTGTGTTAGAAGCTGAGAAGACACAAAGATGAACCCCATATGGCTCAGCCCACAGGCCAGTGGAGGAATGAGCCACTCATTCACTCGTTCACTCATTCATTCATTCAATGTTCGGGAGAGCCATCTTCCTGCTGCTCTAGACCCCAGGCACAGCTGCCACCACCCTTCCAGAGTTTTGGCAAGTGGGGCAGCCATCACATACCGGACTAGATGCCACGGTTGGGTAGGATGTGTCTGTTGCGCGGGAGGCGAGGCTCCGCCTGCTGGTAACTGTCAGGGAGGCGTGATCGTTAAGCGCCTCCAATGAAGCATGTGGGAAAGGCAGTGAAAGAGTTGATGATAGCGTGATCTGTTCTGCGAGGGCGCTAAGAACTGGCAGGATGAGTGCGAGTCCCTCTACAGAGGTGTTCAAACAGGTGTGTGAGAGCAGGGAATCTGGGAAAGGCCTGAGGGCCCGGAGGTGCGACCTGTGAGGCATCACACATACAAGGGTCTGTGTGCATGTGCACACGCACGCACCATGTCCGCGCGTGTCTGTGCACGTGTGTGGTCGCCCATGCACACACGTGTGCGGTGTGCTCGGGTAGCATGATAAGTTGGGCTGTGGAGTCTGATGGCTTAGCTTTCAATCCATCAGTAATGGGGCACCCTGAATGCTTTTCAGTAAGAAGTGATGATCTGATTTGCCTTCTCGAAAGAGCCCTCTGGGGCTAGTATGTAGAATGATGGAAGGAGGAAGAGACAGGAGGTCGTGTGGTCAGCCAAGGGGCTGTGGCAGTGGCCAGTCAGGAACAGTAGCGTGGGCAGCCATGATAACAGAGCGAGCACTTTCTCAGAAGCCAGTTTTGGTCTGGGAACATTACCTCCAATTCTCTCTATGGCCTGAGAGAGAGAGAGAGAGAGAGAGAGAGAGAGAGAGAGACCTCCCTTTGAGATGAATACACTGAGGCTCATGAGGGACAGGGGCTGAGCCAAGGACACCAGTCAGCTGGGCTTCAGCAGCCAACTAGCTGGTCAGAGCCTTTTCACAACCTCACACTTCTTCCCAGTGAAGAAGGTCTTGCGGGAGAAGCTCAGGAGAAAAGAACATTCAGTGCAAAGCAGGGTTCAGGAGCTAGAGAGCCAGTCAGAGCTCGCCGTGGTCCCACACTAGCTGACCGACCTTGGACACGTGATTTAACAACTTTGCTTCAGTTTCTGTTTGTAAAATGGAGGAAAAGTGAGTGAGTGTCATTTGATCTTAGGCATTCTGACAATGAGCTGGTGTCCCCAAGGCAGCGCCTAGCAGACAGTTTGAATTCAGGAAGGAGGGGTCAGAGTCAGAGCAGGAGTGGTGGATGGGAGGGCTTGGCCCACAGGTGAGGGCTGACGCCAGAGGAGTGGATGTGAGGCTCAGAGCGGGAGGGAAATCAGGAGGTCAAGGGAAGACCTGTAGAGAAGCTTACAGCTGAGGATAGAGCGAGGAAGAGGAGCAGCAAAAAAGGAAAAGCAGTGAGCCCTCCCTGGGGGTGCAGCGGGGTACAGGCTGCACCGAGAAGCTGAAGCCACTTCCTCACGAGTTCAATCCCCGCCTGCCCCGGAGGTGACCACATGGCGTGGCAGACCTCTCCTGACCGCCCGCTGCTCCCCTCAGCAGTGGACTTCGCCCATCTGCCTGTTCTGCTCCCCACTCTGTCTCTGGTGAAGCCTCTCACCCTCCGCATCTCTGGCCTGTACCCCAGTTCTGTACGAATAAATAAATAAATCTTAAAAAAAAAAAAAAGTAAGAGCAGCAGTGTTCAGGAAGGGCGGGGGAGAACCAGGAGCCCCTGGCTGGCAAGGAGGAGCCCGCAAGAGAGGTCAGCTAGTGTGCTGACTGTGCGGGTGTGTAGGGGCCTGTATTCCACAGATCACTGGCTGGACTCTAAGGGAACATCAGGGCTAAGAGGCAGCTTTCAGCAGGTTCCCTGGGACAAATGGGGAGAGGGGCTTGGAGCACCCAGCAGAGAATTTGCAGCACAGCGGAAAGAAATTAAGAACTGTGGATTGCAAAACAGACTGAAGAAAGTGTTTAGCGTTTTACTTTCTGGAGAATAAAGAAACCTAAGGTAGATCATAGGTCCTGTCGGGAAATGGGGGTGTGGAACTGTCCCCCCTCTTTGGAGTGAGGACACCATAGAGTGGAGGATAGTTAACGTGGTCGCCATACCCCGCAGAGTTTCCTTTGTGCCCTTGGGAAGACCCCAGAGAAGCGAAAGTCGCTGCTCTGGGTTAGCAGCCCAAGGGCCACTCAGCCTGGAGACACACCAGCTGTGGCTTTGCAGACGACCCGCTGGCTGCATGACACGGGTCTTCGGGTTGAGAGCCGCTAGAAGGCTAAGACCCGGGGGTGCTCCAGATCCACACCAAGCCCTCCTGCCTGGCTCGGGCTCCTAACCCTTTCCACGCCTCCCTCGCCCATGTCCACAACGTTCTTTCTATGGCAAGTGCAGCCCTGGGCCATGAGAAGGCCCATGCGGGCTGCTGAGCAGCAGGGGTCAGGTAACTGAGGTGCTCTGAGGCCAGGCAGGGGTTACTGGCATCACGGGCCCCCCCAGATGCTTCTTCAAGGGCCAGTGCTCGTTGGTACCAAACAGGGGCTCAGACACAGCCGGTCAGTGTGGTCGTGAGAGGTGGGAAAGTCCACATTCTTTTCAGCCCAGCAAATGGACACTACAATTCAAGTGTGGGTGGAAGACATGTTTTAAGAGCCTCTGAGACTGGCATGAGAGGCCTTTGTTGAGTCACACTCCTGCAGCTGTCTGCTCCCCAAGTAAGTGCCCTCCTATCGGTCGACAAAGCTCACCTGATTCTCACGGGTTTGCTCATTCCTGAACTGTAGCTCACCTCACATGCTTGCCCCCCTGACACTGATGTCACCACATGTCCCCACACCGCCATTTGCCTTCCCCCCGTTGGTGTCACCCTCGGGCAGAGGGGCCCCTCACACCACGAGCACCTCAGGACATGGACGGTGGCTGCTGCCAGCTGCATCTCTGTCACCTGGCCCGGTGGCTGGCACACAGGTGCTCAGAAGGAACCCTCTGGATTGAGGTGAACCCCTTTTGAAAGGAATCGCATGTGGTTCTTAGAACACAACGGCCGAGACTGAGCTCCACTCGAGGACCAGACAAACATGACCGGACCGACCAGTGTGGCTCCTGGACGCCACCTCGCCTACCTTCAGAACATCTCCAGTGTGAAAGCTCAGTTCATCCTCGCCCGAGGCCATGAAATCGAACTTGGCGATGGCTTCCATGTTGTATCGGAAGCTGGAAGAGAAAGAATGGGTCACTGTGCCTTTCTGCCAGGAGCAGGCCAGCGGAGTGGGGTGCAGTCCGGCCGTCTTCCCAGTCGGGAGGAGCATGACCGAGTATCCCTGAGCCCAGGCGGGAGGCGCACGGTGGAGGCTTCTATCGGGGGGAGAGCTGCTCTGGTCCACAGCTCTGGTTCTGGCATCATCTTCTGAACCCCAGATACCAGGAGCATGAAGTGAAAGCAGAGACGGGCTTTCCCCTCTCCCGTCCCCTCCCTCTGCTGGCCCAACCGGTCACCCTTCCTGGGCATCTCTGCTTCCGGTAGATAAGGATGGAAGACTGCTATCATCTCTAACGCGGGGCCCCCGGGGCTGGAAGGACCGTTCTGTAAATGCTATCCTAAGGCTGTCCCCTGGCAGCTATATTTAACCAGGCAGTGTTAATTAGACAGATGCCATTTTCTTTTTTATGTCTGAATCATTTAAGAGAAGTAGACAGCGCCGGTCAGCTGGGACTGTGGCATCTTAGTGGTTCGGTTTAAGATTTGGGGGGCTCCATCGGTCAGCGTCCTTGCTGGTATTATTGTCGTGTTAGCCATGTAAGTTTTGAAATTTTTCTTTCCACACTTCCTAATCAAGTAAAATATTGAGGCCGCCTAGAAAAGCATGAGCCCTGAATAGTGACCACAGAGACCTGGCGTGCGACACTTGGCATGAGGTAGTGGGCATTTCTGCCCAAATGCCCAGGTTTGGGTAACCCAGGTAGGTGACAGGCGGGGGCGGGGCCACAGCCCATGGCGGGGAGGGGATTAAAGCTGACTTCAGCAGCCAAAGAGCAAGGGGCTCGTGGCTCTGACTTTCCACATTTACTCCATCTTCCAAAGGGAATTTGCAGGGATGAATATTACCAGCCCCAAGATATTAAGCAAAAAATACTTCTGGAACCAAAGTAAACAGTCATAGTTAATCCTCTGAGCCTTATCGCCAGCCAAAACTCATTTCCAAACTATGTAATTTTGGGTACACTTTCTTCAGATCTGTCCTTTTAAGGCAAATTAACATCTTTGTGACCTAGCTGGAGACCTCGCATGACCCACTCAACAGGAAGGAGTCTGCCCTCCTTAGTGAATGCTAAATGCCTCTGCTGATTTGATTGACCCCATTACTTTACTGCAAAAAGCTTCTAATGACGGCCTGGTCCTAGTTTGCAGGGAGACCTGGCTTCTGTGGGTGACCCTCAGGGTATCAGCCAGACACTGGTCACCTCAGCAGAGCAAGTGTCAGGTGAGTGGGGCTGAAACCCAAGGTTCCATTGCTATGCAAATTCTCCTTAATAAGCAGGATGGGGGGTGGGGTGGAGGGGGAGTCTCCACCGAGGAAAAGTCACCTAGGTTGGACCTGAGCAAACATCCAAGGTGCTGCAGCTATAACCTTGAGCCTGGTGTGGGGGAGGGGGGGTGCGCTGCCTCAAGCACCCTAACTCCATCAGCCCTGGCGCTTGGTCCAGGTGGGCAGCACCTCACTGTGTGAGGAGGCTGAGGCAGGTGAAATTGCTTCTCACAATAGCACTTTACTCTAATCCTCCCAGGAGGCAGATGGCCTGGCAGCCCAGGGGCACACCAAGAGCTTCCCCAGCTTAGAATATTAATCCTGGCTGAAACAAAAACAAAAACAGAAACAATGAAACAGGCTCGCTCTTCATGAAATCACTGAAAAACTGTCTGCATGCATCCCGTTTCCATTCGTGAGATGAAATGTTAGAGGCAGTTTAGTAGGCGGGAGATGTTCCTGCGGGGTGAGGGCTCTTTGCTGGGATCACAGGGCTTTGCAGACCCCCCCAGACTGGCCTCTGATGGCAGAGCCGGTAAATGTGTCCCGCACCTAGGGGCGTCTTCTGTCTCATCATGAAGACGCTGGAAATTTAGATCCTATTCCTTGATAGTCATTAGTCTTAAATTTTGAGAAGTTTTAAATTACACCAGGGAGAAAGGAAATGAAACGAATCGAGTTTATTCAGTATTTTCAATGTGTGTTATAATCTGTATCTACCTCCACTCTATGCTGCGTCTGGGAAACGGAAATTATGATGGAGACACAAATATAGCCGCAACAATTCCCAGGGTGGGGGGGGCGGGGAGAGGGAGGGGCAGAGGGAAGGACGCGGGGAGACCGGAGGGCGGTGGGGGCGGGGAGGGAGAGGGCCCTGCGCTAGTGCCTTCTTGCTGCCATTGCGGTTTCGGGGCTTGTGACCTTAGGGGGTGATGAAGCTGCAGACACCTCCGCAGAGAACCTCAGGCGTGGATTCAGCCTGCTTCCCTTGCCAGTGATCGTAATCAGCTCTAGAAATGACTGAAATGCCGCCTGCCATCGAGTGAATGAGAAGTGGCTGCGCCCAGGTGGCAAGTCCCCTCCGCAGCCTCCCCTCCCCCAAGCCCAGCGCCCTGGGCCGTCGCTGGGGGCGGCGGGGCTCCAGCCTCCCTGCTGGCTTTGAGCCGCTCGCTTCCCGCTTCAGGATTCGCAGCAACCCGTCAGTGCCGCGAGGAGATCTGCTTTGCAGCGGGCAGCACCGGGCACCCTTTCTCTCTCTGGCATTTCCATCCACGCTCTCTTAGCACCGACAAGCCTGCAGAGTATTCAGATCCTATACCAGGAGTGCTTTTGTCCTCCCAAAATTATGGTCACCACAGAGGATGCAAACAAGAGAGACAGCTCATTAAAATAGCTTCTCTTTAAAATCCAGGTGCAGTGTTTGTGTCCAGAAACGCAGAGTTACTGGCAAAAACTTCTTGAACCGTTTCAGCTCCTCCTAAGTTAGCTATGAATAGCCAAGATTTCTGCTTTATGCATCTCTTTAAAAGAGCAATTGCATAACACCACAGAGCTGTTTGAAGATCCAGTATCAGGCCCCATCAAAAGACAGAGCCTGGTCTTAGATTGAATCAGCCACAGGACTTCCCATCTTGCAGGGAAAGCTCTAATTTGAATATTAAATAACTTACCCTAGCCCATGCTGTAAGGCAATGAAGACAGTGTCTGGGGTGGGGACGGGAGAGAGACAGTGCTCTCCATTAAATATAGCTTATAGCGCATTTAATGGGACATTAGCGACCAACATAAGTTTTATTAATTTATTTTGGGTAGAAAACGAAGAGATGTTTACTTTGGCGGCAGTTTCCAAGAGAAGCTTAGCTAAAAAATGTAAAATTAGACCGGCCATCTAGCGTCGCACTAGATGGAGCCTGGGAGCCCAGTGCCTTTCTTTCTGTCAGGCGAACCCCTCCCAGGGACCCGCAGACACTAGAGCTGCTTCCTCCCCTGGGCTCGACAAGGTCAGCTCAATTACTTTTCAGAAGTAGGAGTCCTTAGCCTGCCAGGGAAAAACGATTATAGCGAAACCTCCTGGCACACAATAGACATGTTCTTGAAAAGTTATTATGAATAGAGTATTTGTAAATGGAGTCATATTAGTATGCATTATGGAGGCTCATTCTAGAAAGGATCCCCGTGGTGAATCCTTTACAAAATGAAAACGAAAATTTCTTATGCAAATGACTGCCTTTAATTTATTTGTTTTAGAGTTGGAGTTTTCATGCATTAAGTCTTGAAAAAAAAAAAATAAACCGAGCACACCTGTGCACCCCTCTATCACCTTGCACCCTGCATTAAATAAATATTAGTTCCCCCTCTTTTTAACCCCCCACATGCTTTCAAAACCCTGTCCTCTTGATCCGTAACCTTCCAGCTTGGAGCCTAGACCAGATGGGACAGGGCCAGTCTCCCAGCTAGGCCCTGACCCTGACCCCACACTGTGCTGCTGGAGTGGGGCTCAGGAGCCCCGAGAAGGGGACGGGAACCCACAGAGCGTGATGACACTGAGACTCGAATTTCTTATCACTGTTTTACATGCCAGAGAGTTTTATTACCATGAGCCCTGATGTTCCCCCAACCATTTAGAAAGGTAAAAACCATCTTAGTCCATGGCCAAAAAAATATATGAGAGGTGGAATTTGACCTCTTGTCCTACTCTGTGACCTTCCTCCTCCATCTAGCCCGGGACAGCTACCTCTCACTTGCCCTAATGCTTTGAAAATGCCTTGAGAAGGGCGGTGATTTGTGGACTGATGATGGGCTTATGAGTGGCAGGACCCCTTCACCCACAAATGGGCGTCATCACCCCTGCTTCATAGGGTGTTGTGCGTTGGTGGGTTATAGTTCCTGGCCCCACTGGGTCCTCAATAAGTGGCGGTGGTCTCTGTGACTTCCACTTTGATGCCCTGGGTGCTCGGCCAGCCCTTAGCAGGCCTCGGCAAACAAGGCATGAATAAAGAAGCTTCCAAAGATTAACCCCACAGTTCCTATCTTATCTGGACCTTCCAAATCGGGGCACCGACCACTTCTTTTTAGGCTCAGGGGCCCCAGGAGCGTAAACAGCCTTCCAGGAGGCCCGGCCTACTTCCACAGGTGCTCTTTCCGTGGGCTATAAATATTCCTGATTTTAGTGCAAGCAAAGGCAGAGATGACAAGCAAAACACCCTGCCAAAGCATTTCTGGCTCGTTGGCTGAGATTTCAGTACCCTTTAAAAGCCTCCGTTTTAAATGGTTCTGAGCGTCGTCGGACCTCCTCACTTTCCTCTTGTCCCTGGGTGACTCATTACTTCTGCCTAGTCCAGGACCGCCCAGTGAACACTGCAACTGGAGCGACCCTTCACAACTTGTTTGCGAATAGTAATTCCCTGGTGGCTGAACTTCAGGTGTCCTCAAGAAAGCAGCTTAGGAATAGAAACCCCCAGGGTGCCCCCATCTCTGGCTGTAGGATGCCCCTGGGTGACAATTCATCTATGGTGGTGGGGGGGGGGCAGCAGCGGCAGAGCAGTCTCTCAGGGCAGGTGACCCGGGGAGACAGGAACTTGCAGGCTGGCTGGGGGGTGGGAGGAGGGAGGGAAGGCAGTTTTCTCCTCCCACCTAGGCCTCAGCCTCAGTCTGAACCCCCTCCCCCAGGCTGA